AAAGCTAACCAAACACGCCCTACCTTTTCTTGCTTCTCTAGATGCCTATTGCAGGGACGCACTTTTGACGAAAAATCGTAAGTTCTGTGTTGCAAAATATACACAAGAGGCGTAGAAGTATTTCCATCTCTAGGAAGTCCATTTGGGTAGTTTGCCAAACAGGCCCATAATTGTACATTGGACTTTTGAAAATTTAGGGGAAAACAATAAAATTTCTAAAAACTTCAAATGGTTATATGGATCTTTAAAATGTAAAGGGGTCATGGCCTACGAATGGGTTTGTGGTTATTGAGGAACAGAAATGGTGGACAATGGAGAGGAGAAGGGATTGGGTAGGGGGTGAGGCAGGGGCCAGGATGGGCAAGTCTCCTCCCCTCAATTTTTTTTCATTAGTTAGGTATATATATATATATATATATTATATATTTGTATAATATATTATTTGTGTCAACTCAAAACTCAAGATAAAAATGTTAGACCCACATTATTTACTCAAAAGAATTAAAAATTAAGTCCATTTAAAACAAAAAAATTTGAGCCCACCACTATCTATCTAAATTTATTAAAAAATCAAATGTTTGACCTATTATAATCCATTCAAACCTATTGAAAAAATAAAACTTTTGACACAACATTAAAAACAAAACTTTTAGCCTCCCCTCAAAATTTTTTTCCCCCTTCATATTAAGCATGTATTTTTTGAAATAAAATTTAGACATATTTAATTGTGCCCACTATAATATTGTGTTCTGGTATTGATTTGAATAGACCTCTACCTAAATAATTGTTACTTTTTTAAACAATGTTATTAAAACCTAATTTATGGACCTATTACATTGCGATATTAAGTATAACAGTGAGTCTTAATATTTAATAAACTCTACTATTTATTCAATGGTCACAAACCATTGAGTCTTCATCAATTAAATCTCAAATTAGGTACAACTAATATAATTATTAACTTTTAGACATGTCCGAATATGTTTTGAACATATTGATATTATTTTATAATTTTTTTAAATTGTAACGTTATTTCGTTATTGTATAAAAATGTGTGTTGTTATGTAATAAACTATAGGATCCTATATAGAAGATTATTACTGCGATTTTATATATTAAATAAATATTATTAATAAAATTAATTTGTAACTTTTTTAAATAATAAAAATATATCAGGATCAATTGTTAGTAATAATAATTACTTGTGATGAGACATTTCTGTCAAGTTGGTCCACCAGCCTCACACTCAATGAAGGAATTGACATATATCACAAGTGGGACCTGCTGCAATAGATAATGACAAATAATGAGTGTTTTTAATAGGCTAACCATGCCTATCTCTTTGTATTGATGGCTGCACAGTGCATGATGGTAAATGACTCTTTAAGTTTCTCTATATATATGAGTGAAGATCCAAGAAAGATGGGCCTCAAGTATGAGCACTTCGACTCTATACTTCACACACACATCTATATTATTTTTCTAGTTTATACACTCGTCTATTCAAGTATTGATCGTAATACTGACTTACTCAACAGAGGGACCTCCCCTGGCTCAACTCCGGCGTCCCTCTAACCTTTTTTTATCTTGCAATTCATGGATTGGGTGATACTCGAAGACTAGGGGCGCATCTCACCTCATTTTAGTGGTTGTGCAGATTTTTACCCGTACAATATGGCGCCGTCTGTGAGAACGAAATTTACGCTTTGAAATCTTCATAAATCCAACCCGTGAGCACTGTCGAGTCCTTGGTATTAGTTGTGCATCCTTGTACATTCAGATTTGTTCAATTCAAGAAGCTCGGAATCGATTTCCCTCTGTCTATGGGTGTTTGGTCCTTGTAGCAAATTGGTTGCTTGCACAGTCCAACCTTACAAAGCCCTCATTGCAAAGAAATTTGTACATAAAGACTATGGAGCTTTTCACATGGACCAACCAAATAAACTTTCACCATTATTGTTGTGCTAATTTGTCTCTTAGTGCAAGATAACATTGGGCAACTACCATGATCCAGCCCTTCTCGAAGATCTAGAAGTTTTCTTCCTTCGGAATGAAAAAACATCTTCCTCATTGTTCGCTCTGTCCTTTCACCTTAAGTCACTCCACGATGTTTTGGTTTACATGTTGTTTCTGTAGATCGATCTCTGCCTCTTGACCCATGGCAGCAAAGACCCACATCAGAATGTTGTCCACTATTAAGAAGCTCTTGGGCAACTTTCAATTACCAATGAAGCCTTTCTTTCTACTGGACTGCAGATTCAACGTTTACTCAAAATTTTAGTCGGCAGAACTCCTAATCCAACGCTTGGCGTACACTGCAATTATTTCGCAAATTGCTGGAGCTCGGATATCTTGCCGTGTTATATCCCTGTGCAAAGGGCTCGGCGTATGCTAAGATGAGTGGTCTCCCTCCTTATATATTTAAACAAAGTTAGAATAATGCCATGTATGCCACCATGTGAAGCATAAATGTGTAGTCTATTACTTGCTCTTGTAAGTATGCTTGTGTGTCATGAAGAGTTCACGGATAGATGACATCACATGGTAATTATGGCTGCCCACTAGTCTAACTCCCTCGGACCAGCTGCTCAAAGTCACCTGTCTTGTTTTCTTTGTCGCGGGTTCTAGAAACAAGCCAGGTAGTCTTTCTATGCTGCTGGCACATGTAAAGTGGAAACCCAGTAAAAGGGCCCTGGTCGGTTTTTCCCCCTTGAGTTGTGTGTGCAGCTTGGTCTCACTCCAAGTGCCAAATTATTGTGCATGAGACCAATAGCTCAGCATTCTTTTATAAGTACTACTATTTAAGCTTAAGCCGAAAACAAGTTCACTCCTTTTTGTGAGGAACCACATTAGAAGTTTTACCATTAGAAAAAAATAAAATAATTGCTCTATTTGCTCTAATGTCATTTGACAAAGATTACACTTGCTCACTTGATGAATCTATGCATGTAGACACAAGCACACAAATAGCAAAAATTATGGAATTTTGCCTAATATGACTAACAGGAAGCAAAGATCCTTTAGTACAATTGTTTTTTATTGGCTTAGTGTTGTAGGGCTGACTTAGGAGTCTTGAACTCAATTGGTCCATCTCTTCATCATTGGGGTGATCTCAAGGTTGCCAACAAGTTTGGGTGAATTACTAAGTGGTGATCAGTCTCACCTCCGAGAATTCGGAGGGGCTTGATACTATCATGAAAGAATTGCCTCTCCCAAAGTCCTTCAAAATGGTTGGCCTGCAGCTCTCTCCCTCGAGGAGTTGTACCGTTGGACATTCAATCAAGCATCATGGCATGCTTATCGATACACTAATGTAGAGTTACAGTGCTGCACTTAACACACTTTCAACTAGTCACTTCTCAGCTTCTCAAGCCCCAAAGTGATCAACCTACCAACTGATGGTGTATTTTAACGTGATGCAATTTTGTGATGACGAGTTAATAAAAGAAACAATATTGGAATTATTGGGATCTGAGCTACTAAACACGAGGAAATGATACTGAGAATTGTTGGGGAGTTGGGAAATTAACACATTAGAAATATAGTGGTTCACCAGTTCGAGAACTCTGCTAATCCACTCTTTAACGAAGATTCTTGCTCTTTTCTTCACTATTTACTATACCAAAAAGTTTACAGAATGTAAAATGTGATACTAGGGTTCTGCCTCTCTATTGACGGCGTTACATAGTATTTATAGGGTTTTTTCTAATTCTACGAGATCCGTCCCGAGATTTTCGTCATTTATCCGAAGAATCCTCTTTGATCTTATGAAGAGATCTTTTCTGGATGAGAGTTTTATGTTTCGATTATGACTCTTTGCTGCCTCTAGGTTTTCTGTTGACAAATAACTATCTCTTTATTACTTCCGCTGCTGCTTTGATTGGGCTGAACTTTACTATGATTTTATGAGCTCTGTGCGTCTAATCTCCACTCCCGAGCTCATACTTGTGAATTGCTCTAAGTATCATCACCAACCAAAACCAATTACTTGATTTGTCCGTCTTCGCACGGGCTCTTTACTCTTGGAAGTTTTTTGGGATGTAGTGTTTTCTCTGCATCTTTGAAATTAATATGCTTGGACACTCGCTAATGTGCAAATAGAAGAGCTGCTCACAACATTCACTCACTAGTGCTACCTCAAGCTTCAGCTCTTCGTCACAGTCGGATGGCAACTCACCTAAAACTCATTTTTGCACACAAGGACAGATATTTCACTGCTTCAACAAAACCCAGAAGGGCAGTCTACCACTTAAATGCTATTTCAGCCAAGAAAATATGCTCAACGCCACTCGGAATATGCTCGGCATCATTGCAATATTGATCGGCACCGTCAAAGGATAACGAGTATATTCAAGTCGACTCATCATCATGGCATATTATCTCGATTCTCAATTCTCTGCCCAGCATTTCTATACAGTTGGGTTCTCATAATTACCCAAAGTGCTACAGCCCATCCACCGAGAGGGATTGTTCCATCAGGCACTTGATCGAACATCGGGAAGACGTTTTGTGCTAGGGCGATCTGTGTGGACCCAGGACATACTGCTCGTTACAGTCAGACGAAGTGAAGCTCCTAGCTATAGAGATGTTCGGGCGTTGTTAACCACATCGGAAAAGCACCTGCACCGAGTAAAAGAAGTGCTCAGAGACTACATGAATTTATTCGATGCCATTAACAAGTTCCACAAGTGTTGTTCGGTGCCTCCGATTATATACGGGAGGCTTCAAATTGATGGGTTTTGAATAACCCAAGAAAGCCATGGTGGTGGTCTTTCACCTCGATCAACGGAGCTCGGCCTCTTTTCTGTCATTCATCACAAACTAATGCAGCATGGGATTGCTCGGGAAAAGGCTAAGCCGAATGATTTCCTAAATTCTGCCCAGCTCCTACGGACATGGGCAATGACGCCGTGATATGATTTTATACACCAGCAAGAATTTACTTTGCTTTGAGGGATTACCCAATTTCGTACGCATTCCAACTCTAAAACTCTTCCTAGGGAAGCACAAGTAGGCGAGAATGAGAGCAAAAATGAGGGGGCCGAGCTCCCGACCCCTCATGGTTCTCTATTGCCAAGCAACCGAGGACCTCTGCTGAGCGACGTCACACCATTGCTCCAACAAAGGCGTGATAGGGGGCAACAACCCAGACCGAGCAAAGATAAAAGCAAGTAACCTGAGGTATTCAACAACATCAGATCAAGTTTCTGGATTGTGGATCCTCAGGAAATAAAACCTACATGTCTAGGTGCTCAGTGGACTCTGGCTCTGGACACGGGTAAGCCTTTGCTCTGTCAAAACACCAAAAGTCTTAATGTAGGCAAAAACCTCTTAGGGACAGGTTCCAAAACTTGGCTTCGGGAGTACTCCTTATTTAGAGAGGTGACATGAGGTTCAAGATTTGACTCTGAATACGGGTAAGTCTTTGCTTGGCCAAAGCACCAAAAAATCTTAATGTAGGCAAAAACCTCTCAGGAACAAGTTCCAGAACTTGGTCTCGGGAGTATTCCTTGTTTATGGAGGTGATATGGGGTTCAAGATTTAATCTTGAACACGAATAAGTTTTTGCTTGGCCAAAGCACCAAAAGTCAATAATGTAGGCAAAAACCTTTCGGGGAAAGGTTCCAAAACTTGGGCTCAGGAGTACTCCTTATTTAGGGAGGTGACATGTGGTTCAGGATTTGACCCTGAACATGGGTAAACTTTTGTTCGGCCAAAACACCAAAAGTCCTAATGTAAGCATAAAACCTCTCGGAGACAGGTTCAAGAACCTGTACTTGAGAGTACTCCTTGCTTAGGGAGGTGACATGAGACTTTAGGTGAGACCCTAGGCATAGCGCAATACAGTTACAAGGGGGAGCTTGACCCAGCGTCAACATTCATGTTCGGAGGTTAGACATGAAGACCTTCTTAAGAAGAATCTCACTAAATGAACCTTGAATTGCCTAACTACGGGTTTGATATATTCAAGACTAAATTCAACAACGTATGCTTTTATTTATTTCAATTAAATGTTAATTGAACATGATAAGAAAAATGGCAGGATTCAACGCCCAGTTGATCATCAAACTTGAGACTGTCGAGGCCAAGAAATAGATATGTTCGGGCCTTCTTTTATAGACATTCTAAAGGAGTCAAGATTATTCAGTCCTTCTTCAAAGGACCCGGTGTATTCGGTCTTTCTTTACAATGAGAGATTTATTTTGATCTTTCTCAAGATTCAAGGTTAATCAATCCCTCTACAGAGGACTGACTACTATTGTTCTATTTAGACTCGTTCATGCTCAACGTTGGTCGCATTCGATTATAGTAACCTTTCTCAGGGTTTTTATTTTGTTATCTTCGTTGGAGTTGGATATGGAGCACCTATGGTTATTCCATTCAAGATTTAAATCTCTCTAAGCAGACATTAAATAGTTATCTTCAATGTTCCTTGAGCTGCTCAATAAAGGACTTCATTGTTACTCGACCTTAGGGGATAGATGTGTTCATGGTCTCTTTATTAAGTCCCTCATCAAGAAACTCGTGTACTGAGGCTTTCTACATAGAGACCTTCTCTCAGAGATCAAGATTGTTTGGCCATGTTGTAAGGACATAGGGTATTCAGTCATTCAAGAATCAAATTTATTCGGACCTACCTTAGACTCATTTGGTTTAACTTCGGAGGCAAAGGTTATGTGGTTTCTAATCAAAAGATTAGCAACATCTATTATTGATATCTGTTGGACATATTTGGCTTGGACGATGCCTCGTTATCGTACTCGAGATTCAGTTATACTCATCCCTCGGATTTGACTGTGGTCATCCTCTTTTAGACTTGGATATTATTGTTTCTTCAGATGAGTATGAACCAATTATGGTTGTCTCGTATAAGATTCGTCTTTCTCCAACGACATCTTATAATTATGTTTGAGATTCTATTATTCGGCCCTTTAATGAGGCATCTCATTATTGCTTGGCATAAAGGGTTTCTTGTATGACATTCAACCTGTGCATGTGTTATTATCTATGGTATTCGGCCTCTGTGCTTGCTTGATAGTATATAGTGGGTCTCGACATATCTCTCCTAAGGCGTACATTGCCAAAGAGAATGTGAATATTATCCCCAAAAACATGAATATTTCAGGTATCTTTCATCTTCTTCTAAGGGCGACAAAAGAAAATGAAAGCAAGGGGGCAATTGACGGGACATTTCTATCAAGTTGGTCCACCAGCTTCACTCCCAATGAAGGAATTGACATATATCACAAGTGGGACCCGCTACAATAGATAATGACAGGTAATGAGTGTTTTTTAGTAAGCTAGCTATGCTTATCTCTCTGTATTGACGAGTGCACAGTACATGATGGTAAGTGGCTCTCTAATTTTCTCTATATATATGAGTGAAGACCCAAAAAAGAGGGGATCTCAAGTATGAACACCTCGGTTCTATACTTCACATACACACACACCTAAATTATTTTTCTAGTTTATACACTCATCTATTCAAGTATTGATCGCAATACTGACCTAGGCATCAAATGGGCCTCCCCTGGCTCAATGTCGGGGTCCCTCCAACATTTTTTTGTCTTGCAGCTCATGAATTGAGTGATACTCGAAGACTAGGGATGCATCTCAACTCAATTTAGTAATTGTGCGGATTTTTATCCGTACAAGTTGCATTATCGATAAAAAGTTTTAATAATTATTTTTTTTGTTTATGTTATATATATATCGATTTTTAATTTTTTATGTTTAAAAAGTATTAAATATAATTTTAATAAATATAAATTTATGAACTTTTACGATCTATTAAAAAAAAATTAAAATTACATACTAATGTGTTCATTTTAAAAAAAAATTTCTGGCTCTGACCTAAAGTGAGGTAAAGGGTGGGGGAGAGA